GACTAGAGACAAACATAAACTCAGACCACTACTTAATCCAAAACGAAAATAAGAGCTAGACTCACCAATGCAAAGAAAGTCAAATGAGTTAAAGAGGAAAAGGTTTAAGAGTTAACTCTGCGATAACTAAGAGATTTAAGGAAAGTCTGGAAGGTAAGCTAGACGACTGTACAGGTCGTACAATTGAAGATATTAACAACTATTGGGATCAGTATAGAATCATATTGGAATAGGTAGCAACTGAAGTGATTGGAAGATAAAAGAGTGAAAAAACAAAGGTCAGACTGGTATAATCAAGCATATAACAAGGCTCCAAGGACGAAGAACGAGGCAAATAGAGGAAGAGTATGGGCAGCTGAGGCGAGACGGAAACCGAAAACTGAAAGAAAGAAGAAGCATATAGAAAATCAACTGAAAGAACTAGAGAAAAGGGAAGTACAGCACACAAATAAAAACGCGAAAATTCTACGAGGATTACCCAGAACAGAAAGGAATTCAAACCTAAATTATCAACAGTTACCAAAAAAAAAAACAGGAGAGATTATTGGTGATCAGGACCAGATACTATAAAGATGGGCAGACAATTTTTAGGCGAGACAAAACGTAAAAAGGTAGAAGAGATTGCAAGAAGCATAAATCTAGCTCGAAGGCATGGAAGACGAAAGAGAGAAAGATAACATCCCAAAAGAGGAAAAACTTATCAAAGCAATAGAAAAATTGAAAGAAAACAAAGTTCCAGAAACAGATGGGATTTCTTGTAAGCTTTTAAAACATGGCGCAAAAAATCTGATCTGTTGTATAAGTAATCTTGTAGAACTGATTTGGAACTGTAGGTAAAACTACCAGAAGACTAGAACGTAGGTATAATTGTACCTATATACAAAAAAGGAGATCAAGCAATTTGTTATAACTACAGAGGAATTACCCTCCTAAACGTGACCTACAAAATATCGTTTATCGGGATATTGTGAAAACATAATTGGCAAATTCCAGTGTGTGTTTCGCAAATAAAATGAAAATTATCCATAAATATTCCTTAGAAGACAAGCTTTGGAAAAATCATAAGAATATGAAATTGATATTCACCATTTGTTTGTGGATTTTAGATGTATCTATGACAGTGTAGACAGAAACGCACTATATAAAGTCATAGTAGAATTCAATATACCAATACACTTAGTGAAATCGGTGAAAGGAACTCTCTTAACAGTCCAGTGTAAGTTTAGAGCGTAGAACGGAGTATCAAGAATTTACCAGACACAGATAGGACTTGATATATATTAATAGAAGCCAGGATAGGAGATAGCTTATCATGGCTTCTATTCAACATTGCCTTAGAGAAAGTTATTAGAGAATCTTGAAAAACAAGAGGAATGATTATTAATAGGATTGTACAAATACTAGCGTATGCGGATGACATCTGTATCATAACAAGAAGAAAGGCGGACCTAGTCCAATCGTTTACGACATTAGATGCAGCATAAAAAAGAATGGTGCTACAGGTTCATCATTATCATCACCCAGCCCTTTGCGTCCACTGCTGGACATAGGCTTCCCTCATTTTCCTCCATTGTGCTCTGTCTTGAGCAATTTCTTGATATGTTCTTGAGATCGTCAGTCCATCGTGTAGGGGGTTTTCCTCTACTTCTCTTGTCTAATCTCGGCCTCCATTTAAGCAATCTCTTCTTCCACCCTTTATCATTAATTCGGACGACGTGTCTGGCCCAGTTCCATTTCAGTGTGACAATTCGGGAAATTACATCGGTAACTCCTGTTCTTCGTCTTAAGTCTTCATTTCTAACTCGGTCATGAAGCGATATACTCTATAGTGCTACAGGTTATTACTAGTAAAATAATAACATAATACATAATATACTTGGTAGATAATATACTTTCGAAGGACCGAGAGAGTTTATATATCTAGTCTCACAAACTAATCAAAGTAATACAGTAACTGCAGAAACTAACAGACATGTATATCTAGCAAATAGAGCATATTATGGATTGAACAAACTTTTAATATCAAACATAATTACAACAAGTACAAAAATATTCATATACAGAACTCAATCCCGCCTCATTTACGTCAGAAACGTCGACGATGACAAAAAGCAATGAAGAACATTAATTTAGACTGTTTTGAACGTAAAATCCTCAGAAATACTTATCAAGGCGTGCGTGTAAACGGATTATCCCGTAGGCGCTATAATTTTGAACTTTACCGCCTCTATAGTGAAACTAGCATTGGTAGGTCCATCAAAATAAACAGACTGGGTGTCTAGTCCACTTAGAGAGAATTAACGAGGTGAGTACCACATTTATAACCAAAGACGATGGAGAAGATGGAGGAGGAGAAGAAACAGCCCCAGAAAACGATTTAAGGACCAGGTAGAAGACAACTTCTTCTTTAGGTGCCGTGTCTGCATTCAGACGTTGGCCATCATCTTTATACAATTTCCTGAAACCATTTTCTATCGGCTGTTGCGCAAAATAATTCTTCTACTGTGGTACCATACCATTGTCTAATATTACGTAGCCATGAAAATTTCTTTCTTCTGAAGACGACTAACGTGTGTAAGAGTACGAAATTGGAAAACCAATGCAAAGGATAGAAAGGAATGGAAACTGATCGAACAGACCAAGACCCACTATGTATTGAAGAGCCAATTATAGACATAAGTTTCTCTTTTTTTTTCTCTTTTATAAAAAAAAAACAGGAAGACTTAGACCTATATAGAGGAAAAACAGAGAGGTAAAGAAAAGAGTAACAAATGAAAAGAACGAACGATTAGAACAAGCATGCACAGAGATAGAACGACATATCGGAGGAACAAGAAATTCAGAATCATGGCGAATATTAAAAGCACTCCAACGAAATAAGACAGAGAAAACCCAGATCGGCAAAATTAGTGAAAACGAGTGGCAAGAATACTACGTAGAACTACTTACAGAAAACCGTCCCCAATTTCAGGAAGAGAATACAGAACATGCAGGAAATGGGACATACGACCAGATAGAAATAAGTCTGACAGAAGTCAAGAGAGCAATCAAGACATTGAAGAACAAAGGATCCGGAGGGATACCAAACGAACTAATTAAAAACGGAACGGAGAAGTTATTCCGCATGCTACACAAAATGTTCAAAAGAAGACTAAATGGAGAGGAAATACCTGCGGAATGGACACAAGCATACATCACATCCATACATAAGAAAGGAAACAGGAAAAAATGTGAAAACTACAGAGGAATTAGTATAATAGGTCGGTAGGTAAACTTTACGGCAAAACTATCAAGAAAAAACTAGAAACTGAAATAATAGGAAAAATTGGAGAAGACCAAGCAGGGTTCACAGTAGGAAAATCATACCTAGATCATACGTACACATTAGAACAACTGATAGAGAAGAAAATGGTAAAAGGTAGACCGGTCCATCTGGCGTTTGTTGATCTAAAGAAAGCATACGACTCAATACCTAGAGTCAAATTATGGGAAGCAATGAATGATCTCGGAATCCGACAAACACTAATAAAAGCAGTTAAAGCACTGTACAAAGAAAACAAAGTAGCTATTAAATGTGGAAATAAAGCCTACAATCAATTTAAGACGACAAAAGGACTTCTACAAGGCTGTGCTACGTTCCCTACTCTGTTTAAAATATTCTTGGAAAAGACACTCAAACCATGGAGGAGAAAGTGCGAAGGAATGGACATACCAGTAAGAGACGAATACCTATACACCTTAAGTTTTGCCGACGATCAAGTAGTCATCGCACAAGATGAAGAAGATCTCAGCTTTATGCTCAGAAAACTAGAAGAAGAATATAAAAACAACGGAATGGAAATAAACTTAGAGAAAACCGAATACCTAACAACATAAAACAAGGATATGAGAAACCTAGAGATAGACGAGGGAAGACAAGTAAATGGAACAGATAAATTCAAGTATTTAGGAACCATAATATCGAACCAGGGAACAACAGAAGAAGATATAAGCAACAGACCAAGACAAACAAGAAACTGTATAAGACAACTAAATTCAGGGCTGTGGGATAAGAACATTACGATAAAGACAAAAAAAAGAAGATATAATACCCTGACAAGAAGTATCCTGACATATGGGTCCGAAAACTGGATAATAAACAAGAGAAATAGAGGTAGAATAAGAGCAGCAGAAGCTGCAGAGAGAAGCTGTAGACTTACAAAAAGAGACAGAATTGAAAACGCAGAGATTAAGCGGAGAATGGGAGTGCAATCAGACATAATCGACTATATAGAGGAGAAGAGACTAAACTGGTACGGCCACGTCAGAAGAGCGGACAGAGGACGCTGGATAAACAAAATCACAGAATGGAGCCCGATCAGAAGAAGAAAGAGAGGAAGACCCCGAAGATCATTCAGAGACGAAATCTACGAGGCTATGGAGAAAAGAACCATGCGAGATAGAGACTGGAATGACAGGGAAAATTGGAGAAAACGGTTGAGTGAAGGAAGACAGTGAAAACTGTGGAAATCCTTAGTAGTAGTAGTAGTTTTTCTCGATTAATATTTTGGTCACAGTTGCAAATATTTTGAATTTAAAACTTACGGTTTTGCTTTGATTCATCTATCGACACAGTTTTTCTAGCAGCTGATATTTTTGATTATATTGTGCGTGATGTAAGTGTTATTAGTGTGTATTAATTTTGTCTATCTAGTAGTGGACTTTTACCGAATTATTGATCTAATATTTTTTAAATTTACATAATAGAAGATTATGATTATAGTGTCGAGACTGTTACAGTCCATAGTGTATTATATTAGCATTAATCCTTTTTAAAATTGTCATATAATGTTTGTTTTCTTTAGTACCAGGTGTTTTAGCGGTTTTTGTAAATTTAGTATGATGGAAATACAAATATTTTTTAAATATATGTTTAATAGTAACTGGTTGATACATATGCATGTATTGATTAACATAAAAAAGTACATTACTGACTAGTATTACTAGTACACTTTTAAATATCACATATATGGCCATGAAAAAGAACTACCAGATAAAAGCATATCTCGTATTAAGGTTTCGATCGGAGTTTTTCCAACCAACCTTACAAAAAATAATTGTTCTATTACTGCGGAACTGACTGTCCTTAAACTTGGCAAACGCAATAGTAATTTGCCAAATCGTGTAGGCTGATTTGGATATTGTGACCTACAATATTCTTCTAGAGCACATTGGGATTTTTCCTGTATGGATTCGATATGAGCGATATCACTTAACCCACACGCATCTGAAACAAAATACATATATCTTGTTATGGGTGAAATTCACATATTTATTAACGATAGTTCTTATATTCGTTAAATATTTGTTAAATTTCTAATATTAAAATAATATTGACCATTTGATTAAAAATTATTAAAAATTAGAACTTAAACAATAAGCTAACACCATTTTCGTCAAAATCTATCTTCTATTAAAGGCTAGAAACCATTATAGCTATGGCGAATCTTATTGACAACCACTCTAGTACTTTAATATCATGTCTGGTTTTTTTCTAATCATCCTCATCCTCCTTCTCATTCCTTGACTCTTTCTCAGCACAAGACAAGACAAATGAAGACTACGAAAGCAATTAGTAAGTGTAGAGAATTTTGTTTTTTGACGAGTGGTGGTGGTGCTAAGAAGCAGTAGTCAATCAGTAGAGTGTGATGGTAATGTTGTGTGCGTAAGTGTTGATGGAGGAGGTGTGGGGTGGAGAGTCATGCAATTCGGAGGAGGTACCGTAGCTAGTTACCAGTTATACTTTTCGGAACGGCTCTTTTGGACAGAGCAATTTTGGCGTGTAGATAGTTATCTACGATATTTGAAGGGGGTCGCTTCTAGGATGTTGAAATACTCATTAGGAAGTTCCTTTCCAGCCAAGTTTAGAAGTTTGGCCGGAAGGAAGGGAACTTTAACTCCTGGATGCCTGGTGAGTATGTGTCCTAGGCGGTGGCATGAAATCTTGAGGACCTCTTTGGCTCTGGTGTTGGAGCTATTTATGGTTCTCAGTGTGTAATTTTTGCCGAGAGTAAGGAGACTACTCTCGATTGTGGGGGTATTTGTCAGTTGGTGGATGAGTGCTGACGGGAAGTCAGTGGCCTTAATGGCGTTACGTTGGCGGTTGTTCAGTAGAGGTTGTTCGAAGTAGAGGGTAAAGAATCGTCCTGTACTCAATAATTGGTCTGACGTAAGTGTTGTATGTGTGGAGGAGAGTTCTGCTGTGTGCTCCCCAAGACTTTCCAGCTATAGCTCCAAGGAGTCTAGCTCTTTTTCTCACCTTATTAAGGGTGAGGTTAAGCTCAGTCTTCCAGTTAAGGTGCCTCTGAAATCACACACCCAAATAGTTGACTGAGCTCTGATAAGGGATTCTAGTTCCGTAGAGCTCCAGCTGGTAACTATCCTCGTCGACGCTGTTGCTAGCGTGTCTGAAGAAAATGGGTTGTGTCTTGTTGGGATTGAGCGCGACTCTCCATTTATTTCGCAGGGAACGTAAATATGGTTATCCTGTTTTTTCCATTGGCTGCGATCCTGTGCCAACGGACGGCTTTAGGTAGGGATTTTGCCACCAGAGTCATCATTTAGTTTGCTCATAATGTTGGAGATCTTCCTCTTGGTCTTCGACCTTCTACCTTTCCTTCTACTACCAATAGTTCCATGGTCCCCGTTCTTCTTGCTTTTTTAGTAACCTGTGTTTTACATGAAGCTCTTCCAAAATTGACAGTTTAGTTCTACGTTCTGTCCAGGACACGTTTAGAATATTTCCGTAAACCCACATTTCGAAGGCTTTGATCTTAGTTCTGTCGATTATTTTGAGTCAATGTTTTAGCTGCGTATGTAGCAATGGAAAAAATAAGGGCATTGACAAACCTGAGCCTAGTATTCCTTGTTATTGTTCCGTATTTTCATTTTTTAATTAATTTGGATGTTGCGGTTCGGGCCATTGCTAGTCTTTACTTGATTTCTGAGGATCTATCGCTATTGTTAGTTATCAAAGAGCCCCAGCATAAAAATCTGCATACTACTTCGAAATTCGCTACTTGGTGTCGTGAATGGGAAAGTTCGAATTCTTTGTTTATCCAGCTTAACCGTTCGGTGATTCAACTTCATTCGCGGCTAGTATACGTGTCATCTGCGTATCGCAGGTTACTGATTTTTCTGCCTCTTATAGTGATTCCACCATCCCATTCGTCTAGTACTTTCCTCATTATATATTCAGATTATAAATATGTTGATCTATCTCTGCAAGTAGAAAGTTTTTAAGCCGTTCATTGATTATATGTGGCAGGATTTTGCTTGCATGAGGAGTAAAGGCAATGGTTATGTAATTGCTGCATACGGTTAGTGATCCTTTGTTATATATAGAGATTAAGGTTGATTCGCACCAATTATCAGGTCAATCATCTGTGATCCATATCATGTTGCAAATATCCAGGATTACATTTATCTCCCATTACTTATAGAGTGTCCGCTGGAATGCCATCAATTCCTGGGGTGTTTTTTGTTTCTTACTTGGTTGAAAGCCTTCTTTACTTCTGCTCGTAAAATAATTAATCTGTCTCGTTGATTGCATGTTTCTTGTGTTCTGAGACTAATGCATCTTTTGAAGTGCCTTTTTATAATCCTGAGCAATAATTTTTGCATGTTTCGGCAATGCCCTCTATGTCGGTATTCACTTCTCCATTATGGTCTTGAATGGCTTGAAGTTGTGGCTTCTCGGACCAAATATTTAACTTTTTTAAATAGTTCTTGACTTTCATGGCGGTTTGCACGTTGTTCCAGTTCTTGACACACGTTCTATACGCGGTTTTTTGATTTTGTGTGGAGTTTAAAGCTACTGTATTTTTTATCCCGTTCTTCTGCTTTCTTACATTTATAGAATAGCCACTTCACCTTCGTCTCTCTTCGTCTCCTAAGAATTTTCTTCTTAATGTTTTTAGGAATTGGCAAATAACCACTGGTTGAGCTGTAAGTTAGTAGCTCAATTGTATCTCATTTGACATATATATTTGCCTAACCATCTTTCACTAGGTCTTCTGTGGTTTTTCGTTCTTTGGCTTCTCTTTCTAGGAAATTTACCTTCAGGGATTCTTCGTGTAGTCTTATATTGCCTTATTTTATGTGTTGTAATAACTGTTATAAAAGTTCTTGGGACTTCGGCTTCTGTTATATACCTATAAGTTTACTTACAGCACCCGATGTACCTTTTATTTGGCTCTGGTATATATCCAGCTCTTGTATCAAGGCGATATCCAATCCGCAAATTGCAACAGTTATGTGGAAGCATTGTACAATTGCCTGCAGGACCCTGATCTGGGTGATTGAGACCTATTTGGAACAGAGGCAGAGACTGCAACTTCTGCTCGTTCCCTCTATATTTTTATTTGCGGAATTCTTGGAAGAGTCACTCATTTTTGAATTCTGAGTTTGGACGAAATGCTGTGAAGAAGTGCGTTCATAAAGCACCAAGGACATACTCCTCAGATTTCGCCAACTCTTTGGAGCACCGCTTAGACAACACTTGTTTCCCTGTGCCTTGCAACCTATAGGCACGATTTTGTTGAATCTCGGGATTTGGGAGCGCAATAGAGGCGGAACAAATCTCAGGGTATGATAAACTAGTTGTGGAAAGCAGTTGTATGATCATTTGCCGATTGAGAATGGTGTAGATTTGCATTTGTATTATTCCAGTGCAATGCATCATACCTGGTCTTAAGGAGATCTTATAGAATTTACTTTTCAGTGTTATTGGAATTTTTCTGTAACACAACGCACCACTTGCCTCCTTCCATTTAATTTATCCCTCCTTTACGCTGCAGCATACATCTTAGTCTATTTTTCATTACTCTAATAACTATTATCGATGTCAGCTTATTTTTACTCGTCCATTGAACGTGATCTTCAAATGAATATTATATAATAATATTATCTGTTAGTCCTAATAAGCTATAAACTTTTAAGATAAAATTATTTGCTGCTGAAGAAAGTATCTTAGAACAATGTGTAAGTAGTATTCATTTAGGGGTGTTAGGTATGGTTCTAGATATTTTACCTCGACTAGATTGAGTTAACCAATGCTAACAGTAGGGAAAATAAAAGGAAACAAGTTTCCTTGGGAGAGCTGCTATGACGTTAAACACGATGAATTATATAATTACATATGAAGTAGTGTACTTCTTGCGAAGGAAGTTTATTTATTCCAAAAGATTCTCATTGACACTTTTTAAATATGATAATAACTCCAAAAGACAAATTTTTACAGGAACTGTGTAGTCTTACCATCTTGTGTATTATTTAAAATATTACTCTGCAAGAAATTCTTCTCTTTTATATCGTTTACAATATTTGGCAATATCGCACTTACTAATTTATAGTGATAATTTAGATATATGCAGCATTAACAAGTCACAAAACAATTTAAAATTCAACTGGTCAAAAATAAAATTAAAAAAAAAAACAAAACACACCACAACAAAAACCATATTCTAACCTCCAAAACCCTAATTCCTTATAGAGGTGAAGGCCATGATTAGGACTTGCCCTTAATATTTTAAGTCCATACATTGACCAATATTTAAGTCCCGATTACAACAATTTTTTAATAAGAGGAATGATCAAATATGAACCCATCTTCGTCTTGCGAGTAATACACTGATTATATAGGTTAATAACCTTGTAGTTAAAAGAGATCGTTTTGTGTTACTCAGAAGTTGTAAAAAGTTCTGCATCACTCAGAAACTGTTCATTCATCGTTAGAACAAGGCTTATTGGATAAAATAGGATTCAATGCTCTTAAAAGAAGATCATCAAAGTATTGTTATTCAATTTTTTTTTCGAAAGGTTGCTGATGCATTGTGAAGTAGAGAGTGAATGATTTTTATACCGTGCGGAGATCATTAATAAGACACGAGTACGCTGCTATACACTTAATTCCAAAAAGGGTAGAAGTGTAAAAAAAAAAACAAAGTGAGAGTAAAGGCAACTCATTTCCCCCGAGAGCCCTGAGAGTTTGACCTGTTTTTTTTTCTGAATCCGTATGTTATTAAACTCCATGATATGCATTTTTCAGAATTCTGAAGCCCTGTACCAGCTTGTACATGTACAGTGGACCATATATTTTTGGAGTCGCTTGGTAGTTTCCTAAAAGTGTTTGCCGCCTGCGATCTAGTGCTTCGCAGTCATGCAAAATATGGTTGTCTGTTTCAGATTTGATGTCACAGAGTTTGCAGCTTAAGTCTTCATGTAACAGCCTCACTGTATGCAGGTGTCCCTTGACTAGAGTATGTCCAATAAAGAAGCCTGCTATGATTAAGTTAGTGGGAGGTAGGCTGTCTTCAAATCCAGACTTTTTTCCGGCCGCGAACAGTTTATTTTTAAGACCAGCTCTTTTTCGAAGTATTATGTAGATGATCCCCTTTTAACAAATTCATCAGCTTTTCCATTGCCTTGTCTTTCCTTATCATCTGGTAAGTACCAGATGAAGTTATGTGTAACTGGGATATAACTCTGTTATATCTTAATGTAATTCAGGTTTTTTCACAGTCTATAATATCGCATTCTCGCTACCCCCTTATAACCATGTATAGAAGAGGGAGGTCCAGTGGAGCCTCCATGGCTGATGTTGGTGTATTCCTCAGAGTCCATGGAATTCCAAGGCAAGTAAGTCTTTATACCTTGCTTAGTTTGAGAATAACGTTGTTTTTCTGCATCTTTAGACACCATACCACTGATACATTAGTAATAGCTTAATTCAGCATCATAGAAGTTTAAAGATTGTATTAGTTTAGACAAAAAGGTCTAAGTATTTTAACACGAACACTTAGAGGGCATTTTTGATTAAAAGAGCACTTGAAAACATTGGAGATAAAAGAATGAAACTTCTACACAGAGAACCTCAAACTACTGCGCCCTAAGGAATACCAGAGCATCTCATCTGCGAAGATATGAGATTACAGAAAAGCTTTTAACTAACTTAAAACTTCTAGAAATGCTAAACTTCAGGTGAGAGGCGAAAAGGTTGCTGCATAAGCTATTCTAATCACGGATAATCCATAGGAAAAGGCAACAAAAAAAGACAAATTAGATTTGATACGAGGCAGTATGACCACTAACATTAGTAACTGTAACAGCAGTAAGATATTCTAGAGTAAATACTTGCTACAAAATATTGGTTCATATTTGATGCGTCATCGTATTAAACAATTCAAACATGCCAAAATGTATTGCTACTTAATAAAACTTCTTACTTACCAGTGGTAAAAAGTACTATAGCCTTCAAACAGGAATATTCGGCCGAATCTACATGCAAAACTTTTAATTTTTCTACTTGTTCCTAAAAGTAAAGTTACCATTATACCCTGCCACCACAGTGTTTTGCCAATGTTAATGTCAACTTTTAGAGCACCAATTATTGATCTACAAGAAATCATTTTCATATAGGCTCATTTCCGTGCGAGTGGATCTACTTCGTCGGCTAAAGGTCGATTCAGACACATCAGTCACGTCTTGTCACAGTCCTGTCGCCGAACCGAACAATCCGTCATACAAAATATTCTTTAATAGAAATATGGCGCCGGCATTCACATTCATCAGTTGACGAACAGTTTCCCATCTGTCAGATAGTTGATAGTTCTGTGACCAAACAGGAGCGGTTCGGCGCCGAGACTGTGACGGGACTGATGTGTCTGAATCGACCTTAAGAGTCCATTTTCAGTAAATTTACAGGGGCACAGATTTTTGTATAAAGTAAGTTTCGACGTTTAAAACTGTTTAAGACTAGCTTAAATAACATTTAATTTTATAAAACAGATATTCTCTGAAATATAAAAGTAATACTTATTTATTAAATTAAATTTATTATCCGCAATGTCAAAATTAACAAATTATTTAAATGATTTAATTGCGAAATGGAAGTTTATCATAAAAGTCGTGGTAGTCTTTTGGTAAAACAGCCTTTATAATTTGCAAATCATTATATTTGCATGCTGTAATTGGTATGCGGTCAAAGTATAGTTGGTCTAACACTTGTTTTTTTTTATTGTGCTACATTTTTTTTTTGGTCAGTTCTCTCCACTTATCGCTAAATTTTAATTTGTAGAAGATGTCACCATTAGGACTATATTTTAAAGCACTAATATCTAGAACTTTACTGTCACCAACATTCCTGTTCTTTGTTTCAAGTTAAGAAAATAACATTACGCTTATGGAGATCAGTGTTGCCAAAACTCTCAGACACTCTCTTTTGCACGGATGTCCAAGATATTCCATTTGCTTAATTTTTGAATTTTCATTTTCAATTAACATTTAACTGTAAAGTCAGAATAACTACTAAATAAAAGCCTTAGTATCATTATGTAGTCAGAGAACGACATAAAATAGCTGACATACGCACATCGTATTATTTTAAGTTGCAATTAGTAATTAGATATATACGCATTCCAAGCGGTCGATATTTTCTACTGATTTCTATGATTCATGGCATATCGTATTCTCACCGAAAAAACAAATAAACTGTCGTTACTATAATTAAAATAAGATAAAATAAAATTATCTTTTGTAAATACCATTTATCTAATTAAAATCATTTTCCCTACTTTTCATCTCTTGTTTCGAATGGGCACTTTTGGTCAATTACGTTAAAAAACATTAATTTAATTCATGTTTTTGAAAATGAAAAATACAAATTATACAACCCTAAATTATGCTTGTGTGTGTCGTGGCAACGCCGCGTTGCTATCGTCCATAAGAAATACATGGCCCTATCTCCGCAATGTTATTTTCTAAACGTGGAACGTAGTATACCTGGTTTGATACTTTTATAAACTTTACCATTGTCAAATCTTTTGAAGCAGCTATGATCTAAGTAGGTTACATTAAAATGTTCTTTCCGAGCAGATTTACGTACTTGGAGATAATCAGCTGGAACATTGATAACAACATTGCGCAATCGACGTTCGATGGTGGAATGTATGCTGTCGGCTTCCATCTATGTATGTCAGACCTCTAAGAATTTTTGTTCCATTGTAATATCATCTTGAACTGCTACATTCAATAGTGTATTGGCCATAACGCAGTTGCAATTTTGATAAGTACAACCATCAGAATAAATAATGATGGTTTAATGATGAAATTTACAGTTTCAGTCATTTTTGGTTTGACTTTAGTTTCTAAAAACATGGTCCATATACAGGGTGGTGAATCGTCAAACGGGCCATAGGAAACTCAATGAGAAATTCTAAATTATTGAATTTCTGCTTCCCTAATTATTTTACACCAAAAGTCATGGGAAACTATTTGTAGAGGACTCAAATATGTATCAAAAACAAATGTTAAAATTGTTCTACGATTTAAACATATTTCAAAATTTTGCAAAAATAGAATACATTTTTCAGGCCACCCCTAAAAGTCAGGCCAGACGCCATGAAAAAAATGTGTATTACGTGTTGCGTTCATATTGATGTTTCTGATATTTGACAATATTTAAATCAACTATATTATATTTATCTATTATTTAAATTGCCAACATTTTTATTCTGTGATCTACTGTTTAAAAAAAAATCAGTTGATTAAAAAATGTACTCAGTTGAGAAGAAAAGGGCAATAATAAAAATGTTTTATTCATGTTTTATTATAACATTTGTTATAGTCTTATGTTTAAAAATACCATAAATTATTTTTAGGAATAAAGCTCACACTAACAATATACTGGAATTCATTGAATTGTTGTATAACTTGGAATTAAATTTTAGTGTATTAGAATATCTTACGTTAAATAAAGATCTGGTAGTGCTCGCAACTTAGACAAAGAAAAGGTTCGCACTATTGCCTGAATACAGCATTTGCGATTTTTCGTCAACTGAGTACATTTCATTATATTTATTGATTTGTAACAATATAATTTTTGTTCACAAAGTAATAGTTGTTGTTCAGTAGTAGTAGTATTTAGTAAAATTCATTGTTTATATTTTAATCATAAAATAAAAAAAAATAACAAACATCTGACATAAATTTGATAAATCACATACGTCATAATATACATGATTGCAATACGTGTGGCCTAACTTTTTGGGGTGGCCTGAAAAATGTATTATATTTTTGCCAAATTTTGAAATACATTTAATTCGTAGAACGGTTTTAACATTTGTTCTTTAATTCAGATTTTAGTCCTTTTTTTATGACTTTTGATCTAAAATAATTAGGGAAGAAGCAATTCAACAATTTAAAATTTCCCATTGAGTTTCCTATGGCCCGTTTGACGATTCACCACCCGGTAGAAGAAAATTCTTCAGCATTAATACCACCTTTGGTTTCGTTCGAAAAGAAACAAAATCCTTCATGGTTATTTAAATTATATAAACACATGTTATGAACTTGAAGTTTTGTGTTGTAGTAAAGTCTACTGACATTAGACTTTAGTGACATCAATACCGCCTGTAGATCGGCAGTAAACACAAACACTTGTTCAGATTTATCCTTGACTTTTTCTGACCGTGCTTCATTTTTTTTACATACAGATTGAACGAATTTAAAACGGATCATACAATTTAATATATGTCTGTTTGAACTGCATTTGAAATAGTGGACCAATATAAAACTTGGACAAAAATAAATCCATACCCGGTGTTAGACATTGTATAAAATATCGTTCAACTATCCGTCTCCTTTTAGAACCCACCATAGTCTAGAGCGCAGCTCAAAGTCAATGTTGCCAATCGCCGTGTAATAATCCGATTTGCGGATCTTTTTGAGAGTTATATCTTCTTCGTATCTTTAAATAAATCGGATATTTGCCTATATTTTTCATTGTATTTACCAATCTACTACAACAGACTAATAACAAAAATAAACTTAATGGTTTGTAGTTATTTCAGAAGTTTGTAGTTATTTTAGAAACATCTAGTGGAATGATATTGGCAACACCGCTCAAAATCTCCATCTCCGATAAACGAAAGAGGGGCTTGCCTAAAGGCGGCCACTCACGATACTTTAACTATACACTTGCTTTGATCATATTATAGAAAATCGAAATGGCTTGATTTAGCGAGAATTTTTAAGAGAGTTTTTTAAATTATATAAAAAACAAGAATGCTTATAGCGAATAAAAGGTAAAACGTATCACGATAGAAACGCCCGAAAACAGGCAATGGACATTCTAGTTTTAAAGTTCCAAGAAGTAAACAAAGATGCGAATGAAGAGTATGTAAGAAAAAAAAATTAACAATTTTAGAACATCCTATAAAAGAGAATTAAAATTAGCAGTGCAGTCCAGTAAATCGGGTGCAGGGGCAGACGAGATTTATTTTGCACCAAAATCTTGGATTCTTTGCACCAGAATCTACGTTTTATTTTAGGTTTTTTTTACGCTTAGTTATACACAAAGTTAGAGATGCTAAAATGATTATTTGATTTGCCATGGTCGAGAACCGAACAAATACTGCGGCGCAGTATGGTGTGTGGGCGCACCAGATATACCAACAAATTGAACAACGCCTCTGTCCGATTATGTCGAACGACAACGCTGTACCGTGAGTGGCCGGCTTTAGGAAGCGATAGGTGGTTTGACCACCTATGAATGAGTTCTTAAATTAGTTCAGAATCCAGCAGCCCGCTGAAGTATTGGATTTTTATAATATAATTATTTGACAACCTTTTGTTGGCCAACCACCTACAGCAGAATTGAGCCGAGATACATAATATTTCGTATGTTCCGAATTTATTTCGTTCAATCTGTATATGTAACTGGTAAGCATATTCTTCGATAGATCCGACTTTATAGGCTGCACACTTCTGGTATTCATCCTTATTCGGCCTAAATGAAGCAATATTTTTCTTATCAAAAGTCTCATTCAAATACGTAACGGACAAAGGCTTACTGTTATGCGTTTTGCACCAGTCTAACACATCAAATTTATACAGTGCCTGTTTGGACTGCCATTCTGGTAACAGGTACTTTTTAGTGGTCGATGAGCGACAATAATGAGATTCAATTGCAGGCAGAGTGTCGATAAATTTGGTTAACAGTTACTGTTCTTCAAAAGTTTAACCGTGCAAGGTTTTGTAATTTTTCTTATATGATGTGCACAGTTTATGTTGAAACTATTTTTCGATAATAACACAGTCATTCTTTCAATCCCCAATGTCCTCATCGTTCTCTCTCGATGAAGTCTATTTCCTTTCTGTCTCTAGGCGTTTGGTGTCTATTGCTTTGGTGGAATTATCCACAAACATTTTTTTCACCCCAAGTTAACTTTGTCCACAATAATCGAATATAGCTTTTCTGCCGACATCAGTAATTCGGTTACATTCCATTACACCTTTTTCGTTTTGCTTGCA